TCTATATTTCTCCTTTTCTTATGTAAGCACTTCCGAGTGTTACATTTACGAGCATAATAAAAATAAAAATAAAAATTTTTTATGTCGATAGGTCATGCTAGCGAGTTATAAACGTGGCCTATCGGCATGTGATATTTTCCTTTTCTCTTTCTTTCGTTCTGCTATCGAACATAGCTGACACGTATGATGCGCATAAGTGCCTTTCGCCTACCCTTTCATGATGATATACTGTGGGGGTATTCGCCTTAGAAACATCATTTTCCAAGTTTCCTTATATTTTTATGATACGAGATAAAAGAAAATGGTTGTTAAGATGTTTTATTTTGTGTAACACGCCGTGTTTTTGAGCTATGTTTGGAAAACAATCGTCAATTCACTCACAAGAAGCATGCCAAACGCAAAACGAAGAAGCGACATCGCACAAATTAACGTCACCGTATCTTAGTCAAATCATAAATACTGTATATGGCGAATTGTCGATCTTTCAACTAAATATTTCTTCGCATATCATTGATATGTACCTTCCAGATATTTTATTGCCCTTTCCAGCTTCTATCAAAGTAACAGATCGAATGAAACGCGATTTATTATATTTAAAATCTATGATGGCTGTCTTACATTCTCAAGTAAATCGAGAAATGCGGAATCTTTCTTCCATTGTGCCAGAAGCTGAATTCTTCCAGCAATTGTTACCAGAACAGACAGACATGGCACGATGCAATATAGTCATTCTAGGTGATCGTATTATTTTCGCCCGTATTCCGCGAACTTATAGAGTGACTTACTATCTTCTGTGCAAACATATCACATTAGCCGATTGTTCATCGGATGTACGATTTGCAGGTGAACTTTGGCATGATGAAAATGCCAACTTTCAACTCAACAACAATTCAGGCACCTATCGGCCATCGAAAATACTGGTCGAATCAGCTATTGCACTTTTCAAGCGCTTATTTCCGTTCCTAGAAGTTCGAGGAGTTTCTTCGGAAGAGAATACTCGTCCTCCTACTCTGGATCGATTTAAATCTAAATTAAAACAGAAAATAGGACGTTCTTGACGAATAGTTTTTCCATGATTGTGAAATTATTTGCAAAGTTTTACCTAAATAAAGTGTACTTCTTTCCTTTTTTGCACAGCTCTGTTTTTCGATTGAGTCTGGACGTACTCTCGCATGGAGAGATACAACGTTAATTTTTGTCAAATGGATTTTTGTTCCATAGAACAAAATCGAACAAAAAATAGGTTTTTTCGTGCATGATTGTATACATATGCATATACACATATCTATATGTATATCTTTCTTTTAATGTTTTTATTTCTCAAAGAAGACGACAGGACTACAAAAGGAGAAAAAAAGAAGAAGAAATGAGTCTGGCTATTTCAGGAAACAAATACCACAGACACATATAATGAATAATATATAATTCAATGTACAGACAAAAACGAATGTTCATTTAATATTTAATATGACGATGGTATTGTTGGCGTAATCGAATTTGTTTTACCCATTCGTCGTTTTCCTTGATAAACAATTTTTCCTGATGCAACCATATCAATCGCCTTAGGATATAATTGTTGTTCAAGTATACGTAAACGACTTTCTAATTGATTTTCCGTTTCTATTGGCGATACTGAAATACTTTCTTGTGCGATAATAGGTCCATCATTATCAGTATCGGATTCGCCAATAAACTGAACAGTAACACCAGTTATACGAACACCAGCTTGTAATGCATCTCGAATTGGTGAACTACTATGACGAAATGCTGGTAATAATGATGAATAAATACTGAGTATACGACCACGCCATGTCATAATAAATGTCGGCGATAAACGGCATGCATAACGATCGAGTATAACTAGTTCACAACCATGTAATTGTAATTCATCATCAACTTTTTGATCCTAGAAACGAAATAAATTTTAGTTTTGTATACACATATACAATTCGCGTACTAGATCGTAATGACGTGCAGCATATTTTTTAGGTTGAATAACTTTAGTAACCACCGATGGGTATAATTCATTAACACGCGCTATATCCGATAGGCTAGCCAATGTTGAAAGAACAAGAACAATTTCGAATGCACATTCAAGAGTTGATGTACTATACGCAAGCAGTGATAGTAGAGATGTATCTAAAGGGACCGTATATATTCATAGATAGATAAAAATAACTTCCTTGTTTTTTTTTACCATTAGTTGAAATAAGTACAGCACAACGTGTTTTATCATTGGCAATAGGTTGTTTCATACGATCTTTGATGACCATTGGTAATGTAATACTTGTAAGAGCGGCAGCTGCTTGGTAGGGTTTTGGGTATTTAAAAGAAATATTCTTCAATTGAATAGTACGTGGTCGTGGTGATGTTACGATAGGTTGCTGTGGTAAACGTATTGGTTTACGTACTGGACTTGTATCTTTAAAATTCGAATGTTAGTGTTGTTTTTTGCATTTGACAAAAATAAAATCCTGCTTACTTGTTGATATAAATGTTCCAAGATAATAACTTGACGTATGTGTTTCTGTTAATTGACGAAGAATATCATCAACACTTGTTTTTGTATGATCAACAAGAAGCAAATAATCGACACCACAATTGAAATATTCAAACATTTCATCTTGACTAAAACCACTCTAGAACACAAAAAGCAAATATTCTATAGAAAACAACAAGAAGCTTTATTTTTACATGTTGATAAATCCAAGTAAAAAGCGGTGGCATTACAGGCCACTGTTGCCCATTTAATTCAACATTTAAAGTTGATGATAGCGAACCAAGAAACGATTCAATCATACGAGCAAGACCAATATCTAAATTGAGATCATAGAATTTCGAATACATGAAAGATACACTAATAAGTCAATTGGGGGTTATGTAAGTCGTGGAATTCAAATTTAGCAAAATATCCTGGGCTTATGATTCGAATTAGTTACCTTTGACATATCTGATAGCTTTAATTGTACGATTTTTAATAAGTTCATCAATCGTTTTCGATAGTGATAAAGCTAATATTGCTGATTTTTGAAGTAATAATGAAAAAAATGATTCTTCTTCGCCATCAACGGTTCGAAATGGTACCGTATCGTTTAAATGAATATTTTTCTTTTGAAATAAATCCTTTAATTGTATATAACCTTGTGTATTGACTGTGCTCGAACTACACCGAAGTGCAATTAATAAATCGTTTTCATTGATAACAGGGTGATTTGTATTATTCAGTATAATTAAATCTCGATCACATAAACCTGTGCATAAAGAACTAAATAATGATGATGATGATGTTGTTGTCGTTGTTTTAAGAAGTGTACAATCAAGTTGTTGACATGCTTGTTCGATGCCTTGATAAAAACGTTGCATCGAACGACGAGATGAGGCGGGTAATGAACAACATTGAACATAAAGTGTACGAGCACAGATAAGATCATTAGCACAACGAACAGTTAATTCGTGACCAAGGTATTCGAATACAGTTTGACTATCATTCATATCTCCATCATTCAAATTAAATAGCTAAAAGTGGAAAAAATTAACTCGCGAATGAAATAAACTGAAGATTTCTTACAGCAGCTAATGGATTTAAATTTATTGTTGATGAAATAAGCACAGGTTGTTGATACATTTTCAAATCAATTTTAGCAGGCAGATCAAAATAGAATTCACCTTCGCGGATGTTAAAATCGTTGAAATCTCCATTATTTTGATGAATGTCCATATGTTCTAATTTTGGTACATCCGATACTGAGCCAAATGCACGTTCAAAATCCATTGGTTCATTTTCATCATCATCAGATGTTTCCATTTGTTTATTTTCATCACCTTGTTCCGCATCTTTCGTATTACGACGGCGAGCGGTAAAACCCCGGTTACCCTTATGTCCTACTGTTGTTATTGGTTTTTTCTTCTTTTTACCATTGGTTAAACTACTAGTTGATAAATGATGACGATCAGCATGAGTTTTATACCTGAAATATATATATACATATATAGTTTAAAGTGAACGGCTACTGATTCGTTTTATGAAATTCGAAAAACTCTTCCTATTCTTACCATTCAATGGCGTCAGCACCGATATCGGATTTGAATAAAAGTTTATCAATATTTGCGTGTTGTTTAATATATTCAGAGGCAAGTACTGATTGTATTTGTGCTTCTTGCAATGTTGAACCATAGCCAAGTACATTGAAAATTCTTTCACCACTCGTCGTTAGAACTGTTGTTTCTCCTGAACCATTATTATTTACATTAACATCTATTTGATTATGAAATATTTTAACTTTATTATTTTTTGTTGCTGTTAATAAAATTTTATTTGGAATTGTTAATGAATTTTTCGTTGACGATATTGTTGTATTAACACAATGGACGCGTCGTTTTTTACTTGTCAATGATAGAATAGGGACTGATGGTAAATCCAGTGCATATTGAAGAAATACATCGGGTTCACATAATGATAAAAGTATTTCCGCTTCTGGTTCTTCAAATGTGGATAGATAATCAAGTAGACAAACTTGATTGAAATTCGGTCCTTGAAGAAGTAAACGAAAACCAAATAAATGACGAATTGTTGGTGAACAGCGAAGCGTTCGTTCAACAATACGACGACGAATATAGGATAATTGTTTTGCTGTTACATAAGGACATGGACCATAGGCGCCCATACGTAACGGATCCGATTGTATGATTGGTAACTGACTATAATCACCGTCACCATCGCTTACAATATATAAAACACATATTTGATTATCATCAAGAGAATAACCATGTTCAAGAATGATCGATTGATTTAGTTTACCAAGTATATGATCCTAAAAAACAAAAATTACAGGTTGAATCAACATAATCTCTCCTATATTCATATGTATTGTTTTTACTTCAAACACTGCCTTAACAGTTTGTAGAGCCTCTTCTCGATTTCTACAATTAATTAAACCATTGCCAGTCGTTGCACGAACAATCCATTGATGTTGATTCGGATGTCTAAGGACGAGAAAAAAGATGTCCCTTCCTTGAAAAAAAAAATTTCATTAATAATCTATAATTACTTATTTAAATAATTTTCAGCGTCCTGTTCATTTAAACAATGTGTCCATTCTAATGTGGGAATTTTATGTTTAGTCATAAATTGTTTTGCATTCAATTGATTATCACTTAATGCTAAAGTATCAACTGAACAGCCTAAATAATGTAATCCACGTTCACATAAACGTGCTTCGAGTTCTTCGAAATAAAATGTTTTATTCAAGGAAATAACAAGATCAATTTGTTTTGCATCGACAAAATCTAGTATATCTTTTTCAGTTTGAAATATTGTCGATATTGTTCCATTTGGTTGATCAGTTGTTGAACCACTATTACCTGGAGATATTAAAGTTTTAAAATTTCGTCGTTGTGATAATTTCCATGCGAACGCATGTTCACAAGATGTTGAACCCAGTACAAGTATAGTTGCTGACATTGGCTGTACCAATGATGTACATGTTGAATAAGCATCGTTATCATCTGAACGTGCAAGTACACGTTCGAATACACGTAAATCTGATGGTGCTGTATTAACATCATTATTTAAGGATTTCGTAAATAGAACACGATCGAATAATTTCTGTAATACTTTGGAATAGATTTTGGTTGACGATGAAACAAATAGATTTCCACCGAGTTCTTTTAAATGTAATAAACGTTTCGTCGGTACTTCAATAATCGGTTGTGTTATGATATCATCGACACTGTTCAATTGTTCTTTGATTATTTCCGATGATAGTTCAGTTTCATTATCGATTAGCAAACCTGATTGTGTTTGAGCGACATTTGTCGACGTCGATGACGACTGGTTCTCACGCTGACGATAGGCGCCTGAAGAGGATATCCGCGACCGCTTGTTGCCGCCACCCCGGTTGTTCGCCTGCGACATCTGATACAACCTTTTCAATGTATCGTTCAATATCAACTAGAAAATACACGTAGACAAGAATAGTTCTATTCAATGATGATGTTATCTATTAAAATCTTTCACAATATTTCATTGAAATCAGTTCAAACGAACAATTCTAACTTGAATATAAGTCTAGAAGAACTTAATAGGCAAAAAAAGGCAAGGTGCATGTTTTGTTTATTTACCTTTTCATGTCTGAAATATTGAATACCAATAGTAAATAAAGGCGAACCTCCAAAATGAAGAGATGTCGCCTATTTACCTCACCAATTAATTTTAAGCATGGCGCTAGTTACGTGTTCGTTGTGATTGAATTCGTATCATCCAATAGAAATTTAATGGCTTAAATTTAATTTTTTTTTGGAGTTGGAGAATGTATGGTGTTGAGAAAAAAGACATTTAATGCATTAAAGATGGATCCATTTCGAATTTGCATCTATGCATCACAAGTTTATTCTTATTTTACATTGTATATCTCAGTTAAGTCTATCTACATCAGACAATTCGGACGAAATTGTACGTATCACCGGCAGAGAAAATTGAAAAGAAAATTAAGGACTGAATTGTTGGAGTAGAAATTATTAAAGTTTACTGAATAGTATGGTGTTTGGATTCACAAACGTTTTCAGCTTAATCGGACTGATGCCCTATAAAAGTTCGATTAAAAATCAATCTCCAAATCTTTTCTTGAATCGGCTTATGCTTAAAATCGTTCAAATATTCTCTCTACCACATATTCGGTTGAAAGATACGTGTGTTTTCACGTAAGTAATTTTTGAATTCTTCTCTACCAATATAAGATAATCTCGTAGGCATAATCACTGGTGGAAAATTTATTATATAACTACAATAAAACAACTGCAGTAAGTCGCAATGTCAAACCAAATTGAAATCTAACTGTAGGATTAATTGATCTCGTGATATACGAGTTGTTATTCCCGTGAATAATGTCAGTTCGAACTGAATATCGTATGAAGATTACATAAAATTAAACACGAACGATTGCTATTTTTTGTTTTTATTTAGTATAAGGGTTACGGAGATGAAATTAATCAGAAGCAAAAACCATAAAACTCAAGATTCATAATTGGTTTAGTAGCATGAGCTTCAAATTCAGTCGGAAATAGTTGTAAATTGGTCAACTCACAGTCAATAAACAACTGATACTTATCATAGATATGATTATCATTATAAGATAATAGAGTCATCGCATGTAAAGAAAAAATTAGCAATAGATTTATTTCCTTTTCTCATTGATACTATAAATACATGGAATATTTATTTCATCAACTGAATAGTTAAACTAATGAAATTCTTAATGACAATTTCTAATGGTTGATTTCATCGATTTTCTCTACAAATGTTTCATAAAATCAAAAACTGTCAAACATGCTATGTATGATCTTGCACTAGAAGTAGTCAGAGATCACTTTACTGATCGAAATATTTTCTTCAATAATTTCAATAATGAGCATTATTGAAACACATGTTCTTTGTATCACGTATCCTTGCTCCGTTGAATTCTTCACTTTCATAATTATTTGCAAGTGTTTGATCCGAATTTATATGTGCCTGAAAGCACCAGTCTGATGGATATACTACTACGAAAACAAATTCATACTAGATGGTATTCGAGTTTCACCCGAATACAAAATGCGATGCGAAGCACGAGTCGACTTTTCGCAAGAATTGAGAATAAGATGAAATAGCGATACAAATTGTTTTCGACAAAAAGTAATGACTTCTTCTACAGAGTCAAAAGTATTTTTATCTGTAAAGCAACGTTAAAAAGTCTATACTGGTATTTGATGATTTGCATTTACTCATGATTTTCTTTGATTCATCGACAACTATGGAGCCCAACAGCTTGCGAATGTCTCACAAAATAATAAAGTAAATAGGACGTCGCATTCGTTGATATTTTCCCGTGTTTCTAATTTTCTATTTTAATATATTGATGAATACCCATCGCAATAGAAATATTATTGTAGAACCAATATGATACCAGTCTGAAGGATGACTTTTTTCTGTTCAAAAGATAAATGAATACTCCTCAATATTAGACGCTAGTTTACTGCCAGATACATTCATATCAACAACAAAAGAAAATACGAGATAAATATTTCCGTTATATACTATTACTTATGAGATGCACAATCCCACCTATTCCAACAATCGATGTTATTCTCTAGAGGTTTCTAATGATTAAACTTTGATACATACTATCAGTTCTGCCAATGTATTGTAAAAGAGTATCGTTTACAGATATTCTACATGTGCTATTTATTTATAAACAAAATTAAAAGCTTCAAGATACTACGTACTTAATGATTTTTGATAAATCGAACAAACTATTGGCTCTAAAATCTTAAATGTTTTTAAACCATACGAATTAATTTAGTTGCTTTCTATGTTTACTTGAATGCATTTACGATTTTTTCAGATAGAGAATCAATTTAATACTCTTATACACGCATAGGAAAATAATTCAGCTAGTTTTCTAGTGATTGATAGATACTACTACGAAAAAGAAGACTTCACATCTGTTTTATCCTCGAAGCTCGGTCAAGTATTATCTTGATGCTCATGATACACGATCTAAAACTCTCATCATACATGTCATGCATCTAGATGTAAATCTGCCCGGTGTATTTGTGTGCATATTGTATAGAAATGAAATGTCTTGTTTTTTTCATTCAACGAAATCAATTCGAGAGAAACGGGTGTGGGTGTGGATGGAGGTACTTTACTTTCCTTGCCCACACCCACACCCACACCCAAAACGAATTATTCCTTCGATAATTATATGAGATTTTTATCATATTTTTTATTTAGATTACGAATATTATCCCAATAGAATTATTTCATTTGAGACTGAGTGAGTATCACAATTTGTCATCTTTAATTCAAGTTGATCAAATGATTGTTGTTATTTAATAAAAAGAAGATGATCGCACAAAATGTAACTTTCAGATTTTTATCCTGAATTATTTCATCTTTTTCATTACTTGTTCTTTGCTGTTTCTTTTTAAATATAAAAACTGAATGTTCCTTAGTTTCTACTTCTACTTCTACGCGTAGAAATGACTCATCTATTAGAATATTTAATCGTCTGTTAATAATTGAATCATATATTTGACAAAGTATGATACCATAACAGATTTTCTTTGTTCCGTTGTTGATTTTTGATATCGAATAGAGCCAGTAAGACATTGTTACTTTGAAGAGTGACTTTTCCCTTGAAATACTAAACATCATACATAAATTTACTTTTTGAGCATGAACAATCAATGCTCACAATGCAATGAATACATCATCCTAAAAGAAATTTTATGAAGAAAAATTCTTCATTAATCATATCAAAATTTAATTGAAAAATAAGTCATAAATATTGAGCAATTTTTGTATACATGTAAAATATATCTAGAAAAATAAATATAAAAGAAATAAATCATTTTATTTTCTAATCAGAATAGCTTCATCTTCATCGTCAATAATTGTTGTTAGTGCATATACGAAGTAACACGATGAATTTGAATAATATATAGTTATTAGGGATGTAACAATACCATTTGGAGACACCTAAAGATGGTCAATTTTCATAATGAAGATCTACCAATACCAACCAATACTTTGTGTCACTTATAACCAGCTAACTTAGCTCTACCTAATAGAAGAATAAAAAATACCAATACCAACAGAAAATATCCCCGGTATTGGTAAGTATTAGTAAAAAAAACGGTAATTTTCACCCATACTCACCAATATTGGGGATATTTTCTGTTGGTATTGGTATTTTTTATTCTTCTATTAGGTAGAGCTAAGTTCGCTGGTTATAAGTGACACAAAGTATTGGTTTGGTATTGGTAGATCTTCATTATGAAAATTGGCCACCTTTAGGTGTCTCCAAATGGTATTGTTACATCCCTAATAGTTATGAACTATAGTTGCTTCAAGCCATTCTTGTAAAAAAAAGATTACCATTTCTTGACAATGATTTGATGCTGAAATCATACTTTTCATTGTTAATATAACATTCCCAGGTCGAAAAATCGGACACAAGATCTTATGAAGCACATACAAGACCTTGGAATATGGGTGAAATCTTATAAGAATCTGACAAAAAATCGTAGTTCCTGAGATCTGAGATCAATTCGCACAATCAGATTCTTGAAAGATCTTACACATTACTACGATCTTTGAAGAATCTGCTTGCTCAACCTAATATAAGATCTCAGGAACTACGATTTTTTGTATGATGTTCGTATGATCGTGCAAGATCATATAAGATCAGATGCTGAATTTTATCAGATCTTAACATCTGATTGTTTGCCCTGGGAAAGTTTGAGAAGATGATCGTATTAAACCGTGTATGCTAATAAATCTTACAAGTTACATACAACAACCCAGGTCGTTCATTCCTAATTACAATCGGATCCAATCGGATCTGAAAGTGGATTGCATCGGATCTTACATGAAAACCGACAAGAACCAACAGATTCCGTCGGATTCCAGGTTTCGGGTCGAAGTTCGGAATCCGATACTATCCGATCGTATCCTACTCTGGGATCCGATGCGCCAAAAAAAATCTGCTATACTCAACTTCTAAAACACTCTTTTGCACTAAATAGAATTTTGATATTTTTAAAATTCTTCCATTGGATCCGTCAATAGTTCCGAAACCCAGAATCCAACTGGATTTCCTCGGTTAGTAGGATGTTTTAGAATCTGATAGAATTCGTTGTCGGATTAGTCGACCTGGAAATCAATCTCGTTCAGTCATTTATTATAATATGATGTTGAACATAATTCAACGTAAAGTATCATTCGTCCTTTCTTTCTTCTTCTTCTTCTTATATTATAGTACTATATATATATTTTTATTTTTTATTTTTTCACTATTTTAACTTGTATTCATATTTACCATTATCAATATCACAGATAAGTAATAGTTTTATTTTTTGAATTTTTTTTCGTTGTCTCAGCTTTTTACCCCATTTGTTTATTATTATTTGAATTTTATATAATGATAATAATTCTTTTTATATTTTCATTTTAGGTAACATTTTATTTTTCTATTCTATTTTAGTTATATAAAAGTATTCTTTTATATATTTAATACGTCCTACGGAGGCCTTCCATACATCAGCGTGAAACTGGTCAAGCCTACCTTGATGCCCATAACACGTACAGGCCGCTATATAGATCTATCTATTGTATGTTCTATACACGTTAGATTTATGTCTGTACGTGAAGAGCCTCGGCTCTCTATGGCACCACCAAGGTAGTTCTTGGTCGCGCGAGCAACTATTAAGTGGTAAGCAAAAAAAGCAAAATTTTCATTCCAATCAATTCGTTTCTTTTCACTTAACAAATAAATCAAAGAAGAAGACAACAAATATATGACGTAATCTTATATTTCAGCTTTTTTCTTTTCTTTGAAGCGAAAGAGTAAAAGAAAATTTCTTTTTCTTGTTCATTTATTTCAAAGTATAGAAAAAAAAACGAACAAAGAAAAAACAATTCACAGTCTTATTCGATAGAAAATCGTTGAACACGATTATTACCTGCATCGGCGACATAGAGATTATCATGTCGATCGAAAGACAAACCATAGGGGTACTGCAACTGATTTACTCCTTTTCCATGACCATTTCCACCCACAATTACAGTGCCTTGTCTCTTGTTTCCTTGAGTCCAACGCATTACACGGTGATTCACCTGATCTGCTACATAGAGTGTTCCCAACGTATCAACGAAGATTCCTTCAGGATACTGTAATTGTGTCAGAGCACTCCCGCTGCCTTGTTCTCCAGCAACCACAATACCTTCTTTTGCGCCTTTATTCCATTTCATTACACGATGATTGGAGCTGTCTGATACGTACACTGAATGATCTCGATCGACAAAGAGATATGTCGGCACGTTGAGTTGACTGAGCCCATTACCTTCACCATTACCACCAGCTACGAGAGTGCCATTCTTCTCACCCAATTGATATCCTCTTACTTCATGTTTTCTGCGGTTAGAAACGTAGAGGTATCTCTGCTCATCCATTGCTAATCCCCAACAGTCGATGTTGCCGATGAGTAATTCTCCTTGTGTTGTACCACTACGACGAGACCATCGTACAAGTCGTTCATTCCCCCGATCACAAATAATGAGACTATCCGTCTCTTTGTCAATTAATACATCAGTTGGATAACTCAATTGATGTAATCCATTTCCTCGGCCTTTGCCGCCAGCAACAACTTGTCAATTCGTTGCATCACCGTTCTTCCATTGCATGATACGATGATTCCCGTAGTCAGCAATAACCACTGTTTGATCATCATCAACGAAGAGACTATCAGGATAGCTGAGTTGATTAGTGGCACCCCCATATCCGTTACCTCCGANCACACATATAGCATATCGTTCTCTCTCTCTCTTAAACGTATTTAAATTCTATATTTTTGTAGAAAATCAAACTTAAAATAATTAAATCTAGTTAACCCAAGCAGACATGAAAGAGTCATTCAATCGGAATTTCAAGTGATGAACTCTATCTATTTTCCCTTTTGTGAAAGTAGAACATATTAAACGATAAAAAAATGACATGCAAAGAGCATATCTTGAGGGTGTGGGTGTATCGAGATAATTAATCGAAACTCTTGTAAGTAGTACACAACCAAGAATACTAATGAAAATTGAGTCGATTTTCTAATCATTTTATTGGCATAAATAATTTGCCGAACTCATCGAAATGTAAAATAAATCTTTTTATTATTATTTAAAAACAAGCAGGAATGTTTCGACAATACCAACTTGTAATAATTTATTCAACAATGAATTTACAATAAAACAAGATAGCAATATCGCGCGGCTAATAATAGGGTGTATATTTCTCAATACAAATCAAGTCTAACTATTTACATTCTAATAAACTATTTCTTCGAACAACTCAAATTTTAACTACTCTCTGACTTATAGTACTGCCCTATTTTTCCAATATATCGTGAGCCTATATAATAGAGAAAGAGAGAGAGAAAGATTACGTACTGTTCAGTACGCGACTATGTGCTAATGTCATATACACAAGGATGTATACTATTAGTATAATGTAAACTTAATTACGCCACTGTGATATGTTTATTGGCTCTATGATTTCTAAGTGAAGATCCAACGGTTTCTATAACCATCTATTAAATCTAGTCCTTCATGAGTGACGTACTTCTTGACACAGAAATATTATCGACTATTATTACGTAGTATTTTTATCTTTAAACTTGAGTATCAGATTTTGCTTCTTTCCCTATGAAGAAAAAATTTTTCAATCTTGAAATTAATTATTTTTTATTGCATTTTTTTGTTCTCTTAATTAGACCCTAAAGGGGTATATTCCTATATACTTTCATATTTTTCTTATTAATGATTTTCTTCTTTATAGAACACTTTTTATTTTACTCTATAAATTATTTTCTAGTTTACAGTGTAGAAAAATTATTCTGTGGCATTAGTAGGAATATTAACTAGAAGAGAAAATGTAAGAGCAGCTCATTTCATACAGATCTTAATCGAAATTGAAGTAGATTCTCCAAAAGTTAGAAAACTTCAACAGAATTCAACTATTCAAAGTGAAAAAAGATCCAAGAAACATGTCTTTCTACTAAAACATTCTTTACAAGAAAATCCATCCTAATTCTCAATAAATCTGTCTCAGATTCATTGCAAAAACACAAATATATATATGTTAAAAACCTGCTTATTAATGATGTTTGACATTGAAGCAGAATCGATTAGTTCTAGATGATTTACAAGAAAAGAAGGAAAAATCAGCAACAAAATAAAATTACTGTTCTGTTTAGCGATGTACGAAACTGCAAAATATATCGTTAATTTCATATTTCTACAGAAATGTTCAATATGAAATCTTTTTTTGTTTTGTGTCATCAATATGATAATTGTGTCATCTAATGAAGGTCTTTGATATTTTCGAACGAAATACAATTCTTTTTAAATAAAATATAGTCTGATTATATTTCTATGTTAACTCAAAAACAAATAAAAGTATCTATTTAAATTATAAATAGGCAGAAAGCTAGTTATGTGAAGTAGGAAAACAGCACGCTTGAATAAGCTCAGCACTTGCCATTTATAAATGTTTATGTGAGTTGTAATTCAACTGTATCAGTTAACATAATGAACGATTCGTATTCATTAAAAATGCTTAGTTGTCTGATGTTTTTACTTGTATGAGTTATTCTTACTAAATTTCTCTGTCTAACTATTCAACTTCATATATCAAACTAATGTTCATGGTATAGTTTTAAATTGATTTATATAAATTTTTTTCGAAATTCCTTTACAAAACGAAAAGTTTTATTGTCTGTCAACACACTATCCATTTCTTTTTCATTTTATAAATTCAACAGATAGATAATGAATTTTAAAGTGACGATAAAGTAATCGATCGTT